AAAAAGAGTGAGTTAGGAGGAAAACTATGAGTAGGAGACAATATGAGTAATTATCATTATCATATTATTATTGAGCATATATCATATGCCAGGTGCTTAACTTATATGATTATATTTCTCAAAACCACCATTCAATTTAGGCATTATTATTTCTATTTTCTTTAACAGATAACAACACTAAATAACTAGCTAGTAAATAGTAGAGGCAAGATGATTTGAGTCAGCTCAGGCCTCTTTAACACAAAGTTATACTCTCAGAAAAGTCTTACTAGATTGGAGTTCAAAAAGCACAAAATGCACATACATTCATGAGGTATGTGTATAATACGAGGTAGAGCTACTCACCTAGGGACAGTTTAACAGTGTTTATCTATGGGGAATGTGTATGAGTAGGTATAGAAAAGATTCCTATTTTATACTTTATTTATTTATTTTTTTGGTGCCGAAACCCGGGAACGAACCACCTATTTTATACTTTAAGTACTTTCACATTGTTTAAAAAGAATTTTGTTTTTTAAATAAGTATTTTATACCTTTTAATAACAACTTATTTAAAAAGATGTCCTGGCCTTGGCCTGTGTGGTTCAATGGTTAGAACATTGGTCCACACATCAAAGTGTCTCAGGTTCGAATCCTGGTCAAGGGCAAGTACCAGGGTTGCAGGTTCGATCCCTGGCCACAGCTGGGGCACACGTGGGAGGCAAACAATTGTTGTGTCTCTTTTCACATCTCTCTCTCTCTCTCTCTCCCCCCTCCCTCTCTTCTACTCTCTAAAAATCAATGGAAAAAATTTCCTTTGGTGAGGATTAACAAAAAATAAAGAAAAAGAAAAAGAGAAAGAAAAAGATGCCCTTCCCTGGCTTAGTTGGTTGGAGCACTGTTCCATACACCAAAAGGTTGCAGGTTCCATTACTGGTCAGGCACATGCCTAGGTTACAAGTTCGATCCCTGGTCAGAGTGTACATAAGAGGCAACTGATAGATGTTTCTCTCTCACATTGATGTTTCTCTCGCTCTAAAATCAATAAACATATATTCGGGTGAGAATAAAATAAAATAAAAAAAGATTTAAAAAGATGTCCTATGCCCTGGCCAGTTTGGCTCAGCAGTTGAGCATTGGCCTGCGGATCAGTGAAAAGATGTCCTAGGTCCCCAATTATTAAATTCATAATAGGTCCATTCTTCTGACTGCTATAACTTAAAAATGATAAAATATTTAGTATAACAACCTTCTATATACTGCCTGAAGTTTTAGAAGTGGTCTCTGACATCTAGACACCAACACTTGAAAATGGCTTACATTAATCCAAAATATATGTAGAAGCTAAATAACTACTTGTTGAATGATCAGTAATCACACATTACCTTATTTAAAATTCTGAAAGATGATGATGCATCACAAGGACAATACCTATAGGTAAGAATTTTCCTTATATACATAAGCCAGTATCTGGAATTTTTCTGAGCTCTGTATTAGGATAGATATTGGAATAATGAATTGCACTTAATTAGAGTTTTCTTGTAACTGAAAATGCCTAGTAATCCTGATGGGACAAGACATACCAGTAGATTAAATTAGCAGTCAAAGGATAATTAGCAGTAATAAGATTAAATAAATAAATAAGATGGAACATAGGTGGGGTACTACACATAAAGTTCTGAAGATGCAGGTGTGGTTTCAAGGCTCCCTAATGGTCTTCTTGTCCACCTTCAAGTTACACACCTTTAGAGGATTTTTATAACTTCAACGATTTGGTTATGAACAAAAGATTGCAGCAATATAGAACACATGGGAGAGAAACAGGTACTAAAAGCCATTATAGAAGAATTTCAAGGTGGAGCTTGAACTAAAATATCTGAATAATGGCAAGAAATAAAAGATAAACATGAGAAATTTTATAAATCATGGAAAAAACCTTACAAGACAGATTTAGATTTGGGTTTATGAAATAGCTTGCTAATTTGTTTTCACATACCCTAACTTACAATTTACCAAATTAGGGAAAAAGCCAGACAGCGTGCATAAACAGAGTGGGTATTAAATAAGAAAGAAAAATCAAGAAAGAGGATATGAAATAAAGCAGGAATTGAAAGACACCATGACGGCCAAAAATAATCTCAGATTTTTTTCCTGGGAAATTGATAGAGCAACAGCACTTGTATTACCGGAAGGGCTTTTAAAGACAGGAAAATAAGAGCTGTGTTTTGTTATGAGTTTAAAACTTTGAACAGATATCTAGTTTGAAACAATCTAAGGACAATGATACTGGAAATTAGACCAAGGGCATTTTTTTTTTTTATCCTCACCTGAGGACATTTCTGCATTTATCATCAGATAGAGTGGGAAGGAGAGAGGAGGGAAAGAGAGAGAGAGAAACATCCATGTGAGAGAGACACACTGAGTGGCTGCCACCCACATGACCCCAACCAGGGCCAGGGACAAACTGCAACCAAGGTATGTGCCCGTAGTGGAAACCGAACCCGGGACTCTCCGGTGCACAGGCCAACGCTCTAACCACTGAACCAAACCATCCAGGGTAAGATGAAAGAAATTTTTAAAAAATGTGTTAACAAAGCAAGTTGCATATCACCTATATAACAAATGTAGTTAAAACTCTCAGAATTAATGTCAGCAAGACATGGAATATGAGGCACAGCCCTGAGGAATCTCTAGTAGAACTAAGGCTAAGGAAGAAAATAATACCTTCTAAAGAGAAACAAAAAAAGTAAACTGCGCTCCAGATCTATACATCCACCTGCTTTCAGAATTACTCCCCACTAGATGACCCACAGGCCCTTCAGACTCAATGAAACCAACAATAGGTTCATCTTTCTCACTCCCAAACCTGTTTCCCCACTTGTATGAATGGCAGCACCATCCTCCTGAACATGTCAGAAACATGAGAGGTGTCCTACCTCTTCTGTCTCCCCCATCCACATCGTCGAGTCGCCTACTGCTGCTCGTTAAATCTCTTCACGATAGTCCTCTCTTTTATTTCCCCCCTTTCTATTCCCATTGCTGGTCCTTTCACTTAGATCTTCAATATTTTTTATGTAGACTATTATAATAGTTCCTTAACAGGTCTCTCTGACTCCAACCTTTCCACATATCACCTTATCCCAAATACAGAACCCACTTAATAATTTTCTAATGGATAGAAGTTGGGCATGCCAGTTTGCTTCTTAAAATTTGGCAATGAAAATATGATATGAACTCAGTACAACATAAAATCCTTCACAAGACCCTTTCTACATTCCCTCCTCATATTCTGAGTCCTATCCAAGGTGAACTACTTGCAAATTCCCCAGTATACTCTAACACATGCTGTTCTCTCCGCCTGAAAAGCCTTTTCCCCAATCCTCATAGGTAACTACTAACCATCCTTCAAGGCTCAATCACGCAGTTTTTACTCTCTGTTTCCTCCTTGCCAATAAACAACTTCAAAATAAGGATCGTGTTTCTGATTATCCAGTACTTAGTAGAGCAGCTCAATAAATGTATATTCATTAATCCCACAGCATGTCCAGCCATAAATGTGCCATGCCAGCCCAGTGCTATTTACTGGGGGACACAGTGAATAAGAACAAAGGGTACTCAAACAAACATAAACAATGAAAAAAGCAACATCATGGTTTTGGTGGGGTGGAGGCAAGGAAGGGAGAAAGAGAAGAAAATACTAAAGCCAGAGTCAGATAGGGGTTAGAATCAATGTAATACAGTGTTAGTATTTACAAACAGAGGGACAATTGTAAACTACTAAAGAAATTGAGAACAATATATACTACCCAATTATATGCTGTGTACCCTAGTTTTGTTTTTTTATAACTCAAAATCTGTTAAGGAAATGGATTAAGGAATAAAATCAAGATAAATCATCAGGATAAAGAAAAACAATGTTAAATGACTATATCACAGAATAAAAAAAACGTTTTTTAATCCTCACTGGAGGACATGTTCATTTTGAGAGAAAGAGGAATGGGGGGAGAGAGGGAAGGAGGGAGAGAGAGAAAGAGAGAGAAACATCGATGTGAGAAAGGAACATCAATTGGTTGCTTCCCGTATTCGCCCTGACCATGTATGAAACCAGTAACCTAGGTAAGTGCCCTAATCGGAAATCGAACCCATGACCTTTTGGTGTTCGTGATGTTGCTCCAACAGAGCCACACTGGCCAGGGCAGAATGGAAATATTTTTAAAAATTCTTACAAAATTCACTGAAAGCTGTGGTTAAATCCCTCCATTAAAACAAAGTAAAAAAGTATTATTACAGTTTAGCTAGGTACATGTAGATTTTAAAATATAGTAAATAATCTGGTGGGAATGTAAATTGTTGTAACCACTATAGAAAACAATACAGAAGTCCCCCAAAACTAAAAATAGACTACCATATGATCCAGCAATTCTACTTCTGGATATTTAGCCAAAGAAAACAAAAACAATAATTTGAAAAGATATATGCATTCTATGTTCCCTGCAGCATTATTTTTATTTATAATAGCCAAGACATGGAAATAGCCTGTGTCCATCAATGAATGAAAAAAAATGTGATATATAAAAATATCAAATTACCCAGCCCGTGTGGTTCAGTGGATTGAGCGTCGTCCCATGGACTGAAGGGTCACGGTTTGATTCTAGGTCAGGGCACATGCCTGAGTTGCGGGCTCGATCCCCAGTGGGTGGCGTGCTGGAGGCGGCCAACTGATGTTTCTCTCACATCAATGTTTCTCTCTCTCTCTCTCTCTCTCTCCCCCTCTTCCTCTCTCTCAAAAAAATATCAATAAAAACCTATTTAAAATATATATATATATATATCAAATCATTATGGTCTATGCCTGAAACAAATACGTTATATGTCAATTATACATCAATTTAAAAAAAGAGAGAACATATACAGTAGGTAATCCTACTGGGTATTAATTTCCCCATACAGAAGTTTAATGCAAGGTAAGTTATGTATTCTTTCAGTATGTCTAGTGCAAGCTGAAAGAAAATAGAACTTACTGTCCACGAGGATACCAACGGTGCTTAGTAGTAAAGAACATTTTGCTAAGTTGTTCTATCATGGGTCCTTGTTCAAAGCTTTCACCTTTTTCTTCTAATCTGGTTTTCAGTACTTGATCCTGTGTTTCTTCATAATTATGCACAGGATCTGGCCGAGGGATAGGCTACAAAATAAACAGTAATAAATAGCTTCGAAATATAGAAAAGTTAGTGAGCATTTGATTGAGTTTATGATAAAACAATTACCATTCTCAAGAATTCATTACAGTACCTCTAGGTGGACAGGTAAACTATCAGAACAAAGTTTCACTTAGTTGCATTTTTAATTAAAGATTAAGAAATATGCCCTGGCCCTGGCCAGTTTGGCTCAGCGGTTAGAGCATCGGCCTGCGGTCCAGAGAGACCCAGGTTTGGTTCCCTCTAAGGGCATGTACCTCGGTTGCAGTTTGTCCCTGGCCCTGGTTGGGCCCTGCGGGAGGCAGCCACTCGATGTGTCCTTTTCATATTGATGTTTCTCTCTCTCTCTCTCTCCTTCCCACTCTATCTGAACAAAAAATGGAAAAATGTCCTTGGGTGAGGACAATAAAAGAAAAGAAATACGCCCTGGTTGGTTTGGCTCAGCAGTTAAGAGTGTCAGCCTGCAGCCAGATTCCCAGTCAAGGACACGTACCTGGGTTGCAAGTTTGATCCCCGGTCAGGGTCGTGTGGGAGGCAGCCAATTGATGTTTCTTTTTCCCTTCCTTCTTTCCTTCCTTCCTCCCTCCCTCCCTCCCTCCACCCCTCCCTCCTTCCCTCCCACTCTATCTAAAAATCAACGAAAAAATATCCTTGAGTGAGGATTAACAACAACAAAAAAAGAATAAGAAATATTTTTCTTCTTACATCAAGTTTTGGGTTTCTTTTCCAATAATAAAGGTCTTATTTAAAATTCTATTTCTTTCAATAATAAAGACTTATTAGATTGGTTTCTATGTTTCAAAACTATAAATTATGCCAATTATTATTATTATTAATATTATATTTAAACATGGAACGCTTCACAAACGTGTGTGTCATCCTTGTGTAGGGGCCCTGCTAATCTCTGTATTGTTCCAATTTTAGTGTATGTGCTACTGAAGCGAGTACTATTTTTTTAAATTAAAAATGTACAGTCTCTACCCTGAATAAACTTAAAGTGAGATAGAAATCTTTCATTAAAAAGAATACTTCTGGATACTTGACTTGGGTGGTGAACACACAATATACAAATGATGTATTATAGAACTGTATACCTGAAACCTATATAATTTTATTAACCAATGTCACCCCTATAAAGTCAAGGAAAGAAAAAAAAGAAAAAAACAGTAAAAAGAATGGGCAAGGGATGGGTTTGAAGACTGATTTAGTGAACATTAAATTTCTTAGTTGGGGACAGACAGTCTGAACAAGGCAAGTATATACTTGAATTCTTTATATTGAAAAAGAAAATTGTGTAAAAAAAAGAAATCAGAAAATTTTTTATATACAATAGAAGCAGGAAAAATTTCAATGTGTTTATTTTTTGATCATGAAATGCCAAAAAATGATGCTTTATGGCAATTTGATATTTACTATACTTATATTTACTTAGCTTATATACATGAAACAATAAGAACTCTTTAAAAGTCAATATATAGGGCCCAGCTGGTGTGGCTCAGTGGTTGAGCATCCACCCATGCACCAAGAGCTCACCATTCGATTCCCGATCAGGGCACAAGCCCAGGTTGTGGGCCCGATCCCTAGTGGGGGGCATGCAGGAGGTGGCCAATCGATGTTCTCTCTCACTGATGTTTCTCTCCCTCTCTCTAAAATCAATAAAGAAAAAAAAAGGCAATATATAGGTGCATGAAGGTGGCACAAGTACATCAGAAATGCAAAGTAACAGACATCAGTGAGAAGTAGAATGGGAGCCAAGTCAGAGACTTATCAGAGGGCAGAATGTATCCTGCAAAGGATAACAAACCCTACGAGTAAAGGAACGTAGGTAGGGACACACGATAAAGAGGCAATCTTAAGAAACAGATCTCAAGAAATCAGATTATGAAAGGCCTTCGAGGTTAGTTTTATAAGTAACAATTTGATATAAGTAGAAATGAAGAACCACTTTTGTGGTGTGAGAGGTAATAAGGAGGAAGGATAATAAAGAGGTTGAAACTTGGGCTTTGGCCTCTGATTCTATCCTTTATTAGCTCTGTGACCTTGGGCAAATTATTTAAGCTCTTAATTTCCCTTTCTGTAAAATCAGAGAAGTAATATCTACCTAATAAAGGCTTGATGATGATGACTAGATGAAATAATAATATATAGTATGCTTAGCTGTCTCTCATTCTCTTAAGAGTTCAAAATGGTATACAGCTGTTACCTTTTAGGTTCTCAAACACAAAAAAATGTGATTTAAACTTATTTTAAAGATGCCCTGGCCTGTTTGGCTCAGTGGTTAGAGCATCGGGTTTGATTCCCACTAAGGGCATGTACCTCGGTTGCAGTTTGTCCCTGGCCCCAGTTGGGGTCGGGTGGGTGGCGACCACTCGATGTGTTTCTCTTGCATCGATGTTTCTCTCTCTCTCTTCCCACCTCTCTCCCTCCCACTCTATCTGAGGATAAATGCAAAGATGTCCTCGGGTGAGGATAAAAAAAAAAGAAAAAAGAAAAAGTGCGCCTTAGACACAAAGTAATGTTAAAATATCATCTTTGTTGGTAAAGTGAAATATTAACAATTGTCTTTGCTAGTTACTATCAGACTCTGATGGGTAACAGCAAATATGAGATTGGAGCCTATAGTTTTCTCTCTTTCAGGTTATTAAACTTGTTGCTAAAGATAAAATGTTTTAAATATTATCAAAAAGCTAGTTATTTTCAAGTGTTAATAAATGTTCATGGTCTATGGTCCTATTCCCAAACAGGCACAATTCTAATACATCACAAATGCTCTCCGCTTTGTATGATTAAAAACAGATTTTTTTCCCCAGGCATACAGATAAAAGACAGTGGAATTAATGGATTCTTCAAAGTCTATACCAAGAGCCTCTGGCAGACTCAGAATTGATTATTAGGCAGTATTTGATCTCTTTGACCAATTTCAAAGAAAGGGTACATGAATGTTTCAGTAAAAAGGAAAAACTAAAATAAAACTGAATATCAACTTCATAAAACATTCAGTACTGTCATGCTGAATTTCCTACTTTTCTTTAGAATTTTAGAAATTTGATGTTCAAAATTTTCCACTAAATCAACCACCAAAAAGAACTGCCTAGTACTTACATTTTCATTTTATTTTTCCAATCATTATTTTTTTGTCTCTGGTAGAATATCTTTATTTTCCTAAATTAGAAATTCTAAATTTGGGAAACATATTTAGAATATTAGTACTTTTAATAAAACATATACCAGGCAGAAGCAGAAAAAAAGGATCTTTTTACCTGGATCTATGTAAGATAATCAACATACTTTAGAGTTAAACCTAAATGACCAGAAAACCAAAGATGCAAATCATCTTAACTTTCTGAAAGCCAGTCTTAGTTGGTATTTCTACCTACATATGACTAGGATCTTTGTACACAATATACTTTCCAGGGCCTAGAGAATCAAAGGTCTCACAAGAGTTGCAGCTCTACTTCCTGGAGAAAAGAGGAAAATAAAGTCTACATTTTAAGTCATGTTTGAGGATATTTATTTAATGCTACATATTATTATCATGAGATTTGTAAATCTGGATTCAGAAAGAACATACTTTATTCTAACAGTTACATGTTTTCAAGAATGTTTCTTATTATGCAGCCCAATCTAGAATTTATTAGTTGAGAAACAAAAAAAATCCATGCCTCACCATATGAATGTTTCTTAGCCCTAAAACAGAAAACCCTTAAGCTCGGTGAGAGAGAAACAAATGTGTTCATTCAATCAATCAATATTCATTATGAAGCTACCAAGTAAAAGCTGTGATTCCAGGTGCTGAGGATATAGTAGGGAACAAAAGAGACAAGGCTCTGTCCTCATGGAGCTTACATTTTAGTGGCAGGATAGAAAAATAAGAAAATATTCAGTGTGCAAGAAATGATAAATGTTATTGAGAATAGTAAAGCAAAGAAGGACAATGGGGAGTCCAAAGGTAGAGGTACTACTTCAAATGCAGTAGTCCAGGAAGGCCTCACTAGGAAATTAATAAGGAAAGATCTAAAGTAAAGGAAATAAACTGAGATTTCTGGGGTAAAAGCATAATAGACAGAGAAAGCAAGAAATACAAAGGCCCTGAGGCAGGAGCTTGCCTGACATACTTGAAGAAAAGCAGGGAAACCAGTGTGGTAGCAGAGCGGTTACATGTAAACTGACAGGAGTGACCTTCCTGACTACAGAGAGGAATACTGACAATGTGGGAGAGGAGACAACCGCTGGAACAAAGGGAGTGCAGCAGAAAAAGAGAAAGCAGGGATTGGGCATGCATGCAAGGGAGTGATTATAATGATGGATCAGGGAATCTATGCTGGGTAAGGAGAGAAGTGAGCATGTGTGAGATACATGAGGGACTGTGAAAAGTAGTTCAATCATTGATATAGGTGTCAATGAGGAGATGAATAATTCTTGGAGCTGAAAGACTAGGGGCAGTTGGTAGTAAGCTAGAATTCTTGAAAGCGAGATTGGGAGAAAGGAGAACCAGTGATTTGTGATTAGAATATCTCTAGAGCACAACCATGGGAGTAGGGGCTGAGGTAGCGAGAAAAGAACAGAAGTTGGAGGCCAGGGTATTAGACAGATGATCTACACAGATGCTGAAATAACAAAGAATTAGGACAGAAACAGCATTGGAGAGTGTGAAAGCACATCTAAAATCTTCAAGGAAGAGTAGAAGGATGGAGAAAGAGAAGTAAACTGCAGTATGGCAGCAACAAAAAAAAGGTGGTAGATGGTACAGTTCAGTAAATAACAAAGCTAGAAACTGTTAGGGAGAGGGGGAAATGGTCTGGATATGACAATGAGGAGCTACAGAGACACCTACCCCACCTCTAGGCCCAGTAACAAAAGGATATAGTAGGAGAAAAAACAGCAACTACTTTAAAGACTGCTGGGGAAGCACTGGCCCTAGGGTACAGCCAGGTTTTTGTTAAGCCAGAAGGTGAGGGCAACATTCTGGAACAAGTTTAAGTTTATGAGAGATTTTGCTGATGACAGTAAGTTTAAGAGTACAATGGAAAGGTTTTGAGAGTTGGGAGGGATAGGAGAAGGGTCAGATTCAGGTATATAAAGAGCCATATATGGATGAGAATCTGAATGCTGAAAAATAACCTTGTAGTCTTGGGCGTCTTGCTATTACTACTAAGAAAAGAAAAGGCATGTAACCAGAAATATACCACAAAATAAGAATGGAAGAAGGCACAAAATAGTGTCAGCTGGGAGGTTTACAGGCCCAGAGCCATTAACTTAGGCCTATTTTCCATACACTGCTCACAGAAATGAAACAAAAGAGGTATTAAATTATTGACTATGATATGTGGCTAGAATTCAAAGCAGTCAGACAAAATGGTGAGGTTAAAAAGGGAATAAAAATTAGCAAAATAACAACCTATTTTGTCAAATCAACCAGTACTCTGGACCCTAATTAGATGCATTATGTGATGACTTGAATTATCTAATTATTTTCTCAAAAAGCAAATGAAACATTACCAAATATAGTAAAAGAAGGCTTAAAGAAACAGAAAAAAGCCTTTCAAATAAAAAATAATAAAAAAGACTTGGGCCAAGCTAAAATAAATTGTACTGAAAACAAAACAATGCTCTGGCTGGTGTGGCTCAGTTGGTTGGGCATTGTTCCATGCACCAAAAGGTTGCCAGTTTGATTCCCTGTCAGGGCACATGCCTGGGGTTTCGAGCTCAATCCCAGACAGGGGGCAAGTAGGAGGCATGCGACTGATGTTTCTCTCTCTCTCTCTCCTTCTCCCTTCCTCTCCCACTAAAAAAATCTTTGAAACAAAACAGAACAAAATCTCTTATAACTAGTGCCTAACATTTAAAGAAATATGAAAGAAATTAAAGTAGGCCACTTAAAACATATGCCCATGTTGGCAGATTAGAAAAAACTAACATTAAAAGGATTATCAGACTCAATACAATACTAAAGTTATGAAATAGCACTCTAAAATACAAGTTTTTCATAATTTACTAGATAATATAGGGTAGTAAGGGACAATGTGCTCTGTTAGTTTATATCAGGTGTGTTGATACCTAGTCAGAAATCTACCCAATTTTAGACCAGAAAACTGATGCCATAATTATGTTTATTTATTTTTTAACCTCACCTGAGGACACTTTTCTATTTTTTGTTCAGATAGAGTGGGAGGGAGAGAGAGGAAGAGAGAGGGAGAAACATCGACATGAAAGGGACACATCAAGTGGTTGCCACCCACACGACCTAACTAGAGCCAGGGACAAACTGCAACCAAGGTACATGCCCTTAGCAGGAACCGAACCTGGGTCTCTCTGGACCGCAGGCCGACGCTCTAACCGCTGAGCCAAACCGGCCAGGGCCATAATTATGTTTAAAATGGTTTACTTTGTGTACAGAAAATAGCCTTTAAAGAAATAAGATGAAATAGAAATAAGAAAAAAATCAAAATAGTAAAATAAAAAAGCCAAAAGATCTAAACCAAATTTTTAAAGAATCAAATATAAGGAAATCCTTCTTTTTAGATACTTTAAGGAAGTGTGAATACTTCTAACAGCAAATTAAAAATTATATAATTTTCTCATACATACTTTGGTGTGTTCATATGGAATGTCCACAGAAGGATGGTAGCAAACTATTGTCCTGCTATCAGATGTCAAAGCAAGTTCTACTTTGCTAAAAAAGAATGTTTCAGAAACAAAGTTATACTGTATTCAAGGCAGAATGATTACTCTTAGCGCTAAAATGAATTATTCATTAATCCCTTAAGAACAGATGCTATATCACTGGACTGGCAAACCTGGTACCCGTATCATACAGAACAATGCAGACCATCCAACAAAATACATCAGTTTAACTACCACCGCAAACTCTTAATGCATTACCCACTATTACATCTAAATGATTCTTCAAATTATTTATTTTGTAGACTACACAGATATTTGGAAGAGACTTTCATGTTTGTCACTATTATTAGAACTTCTTTTTCTTATCTATAAACTGCCTTCAAAAAGTTGTAAGGACATTACTTGGTTGAATTATTAAAACTGAAGATCAGCAAAATACATATTCTTCCAGGTAAAGGATCAGTTGAATTTCTTTTTTTTCCCCTCCCCCCTCACCAGAGGACATTTTTGCATTTATCTTCAGATAGAGCAGGAGAGAAGGGGGGGAAGAGAAAGAGAGAAACATCGATGTGAGAGACACATCAAGTGGTTGCCACCCACATGACCCCAAGCAGGGCGGGAACAAACTGCAACCAAGGTTATGTGCCCTTAGGGGTAACTGTACCTGGGACTCTCTGGTCCGTGGGCCGACGCTCTAACCACTGAGCAAAACTGGCCAGGGCTGAATTTCTAATCATAAATATTGTAGCTGGGCACTTTGTCTAGATCAGTATTTCAAGTGCCTTTGGCAGAACAGTACAACAGTAAGAAGATTCCCAAAAAAAGGGTTCTATGGTCAAACAAATTGTGAACTATTGAGTATTATCCCTTCACTCCGTTAGTCCCTCGTAAGAACGCATTTTGGCAATATTCCTCTAAACACTTCCAGGAATGCTCTGACTAGATCTCATTCTTTCAGGTACCAACTTAACAAGTCTGTTTCTCAAAGACTCTGACAACTAATACTATACTCGATCCATATACATTCCAAGGAGCACAGCTTTCAGCTATTATTAAATATATGTGTTCTTTAGATGTCTATAAATTTAAGTTCTAGGATTTCAACACCTACCAGATTTGAGCCAGACCAGCAATTAAACTATAAAGTGTATTTTAGCTAACACGGGATAAAGTTGTTTCATCGTGATTTTAAGATTAAATACCATAATATGGCTACAATGAATATTTAATCTATCAAATGAGTTTTGATGAAGGATGTAGTTTTACATAATGTACCTATAAGACTCATTCTTTTGAAGTTCAAAAGTGTTACCTATTATATTATCTAATTTCATCACTATTGAAAAACTTACTAAATGTACAATTAAAGCTCAAAGTAAAATTATATAGTGTCAAGAGGAAAGAAAAAATATTTTTACTAAAATTTACAAAAAAAAATGTAGCTTAAGAAAATATGTTGTGGCCCTGATCAGTTTGTCCAGTGGTTAGAGCATCGGCCTATGGACCAGAGAGTCACGGGTTTGGTTCCTGCTAAGGGCATGTACCTCGGCTGCAGTTTCTTCCTGGCCCTGGTTGGGGTCGTTTGGGTGGTGACCACTCAATGTGTCTCTCTTCACATCAATGTTTCTCTCTTCCTCCCTCTCTCCCTCCTGCTCTGAAGATAAATGCAAAAATGTCCTCGATGAGGATAAAAAAAAAAAAGGAAAATATGTTGCAGTTTCTGCATATCAGCCTGCTATAGAGAAAAAAGACAACATCTTATTCATATGTTCTTCCTAGTTCTTAGCATAGTGACTAGAATGGAGTAAGTACCAAATAAATTGTGGTTGAATAAAATATTTGTGATTTAGGTTATTCAATATCAAACAAAAGATAAGATAAATAATTGCATAAGCTAATAGATATAAACCCTAAGAGAAAACTATAAAAATGACTTAAGTGTTTCAAGAATGCTTCAGGAAGAAAAGATAGCATTTTTAACAGCATATCTGTCTTACAACAAATTAAGTATTCACTGAAACATGATAATGATTTTTATTTAAAATGTTTATAAGCCCAGATATTGGGTAAATAAGATCACTGAAATCATTTTAAAAACAAAGAATAATAAAAAATCAGAAAAACCCCAAACAAGAAATGAAATGAAATTCATTTCAGATACAGCTAACACACTGTTACTTTTACAATTGAATTTTAATACATACCAATTATAGTCATCTGGAAGAGAAGAATATGTAGATTTATGACAAACACAATATAAAGCTCCACCTGCAAAAACCCCAATAAGTAAAGTGGATTTAGTTCATTTGAACATATGTACTCACATAAATGTAAAGGTAGTTTCACTCATTTAAACAATATTTAGTTTATTATGAAATAGGGACGTACTAAGGACTAGGGATTCAACAAGTAAGATCCAGTCCTGCCCTCTGACAGGGTACAAGTCTGGTGAGAGACAGACAAGTGAACAAACAATTCCAGTATAAAAGATAAGCCCTGTTAGGATGGGTTAAGTATTGGGAAAGAGAAGGGAACACAGAAAAGTTACAAAACACAACTGTACAGAGGCTCAGTTGGTTGGAGCATTATCCTGTACATCCAAAGGTTGCAGGTTCCATTTCCGGTCAGTGCACATACCTAGGTTGCAGGTTACATCCCGTTGGGGAGTGTAAGGGAGGCGATCAATTGATGTTTCTCTCTCACATCCACGTCCCCCTCCCCCCACTTCTCTCTCTAAAAAACATCAATAAAAACATATCCTTGGGTGAGGATTAAAAGAACAAAAACAAAACAAAACAGAACTGTACAGGTTCAAGAAGGCCTTTACAGTGGAGACAACGTCTAAGGTACTCTGAAAGATGAGGGAATAAACAGGAGTCCATAAGGAGTAAAATGATCCTTGTAGAGGGAGTAACAAGTCCAAGGACCAGAGAGGTAAAAAAGAATATGAAGTACTTGGGTGTTCTAAAAAATTTCATGTGCCTGGAGTACACAGTTCATAAAGACGGAATGTTAAGTGATAAAATACAAAATAAACTGTTCAAAATTAATTTTCCTTAATCAAAATGCTCATATTTGAAAGCACATTTTTCTTGTTTAGAATATCTACAAATCCAAGAGCCATAATTACTTTTCTAAAAGTTTGTGAAAGGTTCACAATATAAAGCTCCCTCTGCAAAAACCCCAAAGAGTAAAGTGGATTTAGTTAATTTGAGCATATGTGCTCACATAAATGTAAAGGTGTTGAGAGAAAGGGTGTTTTTTTAAATTACGTAAAGAAAAAATGTAAACATAGCTCAGTATAGTTAAAAGCAAGTTCTGAATATATCCTGGCTGAAGTCAAGGAGCACTTTTCTCAACTGAGCCTCTCCCTCCTCAGTATGAAACACAATCTCTACTCTGTTCAAATATCGCTCATCCTTCAAAATCAAATGCTACTCTTCCATAAAATCCTTTCCCCCCTCCCCCGCCCCATAACCCCCATTGCAAAGGACAGACTTGTCTATTTTACATGTTCCACAACCAACACTTCATATGACATTGCTATACCTTCTTGCAGTGTGCATCAGTTATTGATGTGTATCAAAGATATGTAAAAAAGATGTGTCTTCCATCTTGTACACCTATCCTTTCTCCAAGGATTGCATTACACTTAGAGGTCTAAATATAAGTTCTTATTCCAAAGCATAAAAAGTGCCTTAACAAAATTCACCATTATCATACAAGACTGTTCAGCAAAAAGTCAACCCCAAACTTCTATTGATGTAAGATAATAAAATATAAAGAATTAGAAAGTTAACCTCATCTCTCAAAAGATTCATTAATTTTCAATTAACTGTGCTAATACATACCAGCATTCAATAAGACAAATCAGAGGATAAAGTAAAAAATATTTACACAATTTATTTTCTTGTTTTATACTGTTGAGGACCTTCCTAATTATGTCTAGATTAATATTAAAAGGAGTTTTATTCTCTGAATACATGTTCACTGAAAGAAACATCGGATTGGGTGGCAGAGACAGGACAGACAGAATTAAGTGTTCTTAAGTAGGCAGAAGGGAAAATACAAGAACAGTATTTCAGTTCAACAAGAAACTGTACAATTACTACTCTGTACTTACACAGACATTTGTTTGTACCTTCATAACATACATCACATTCTACCTCCTATTACAGGTATTTCTAGTTTCTACAGATGTCTGTTTCACCTGCAAATCTAAGTAAGTTCCTTAAGGCCAGCAACCACACCATGGTCATTAATGTGTCCCCTACAGTGGCTACCAATAAAAAAGTGATTGCCAAACTGCCTCTAAAATGTTAATTTCTGCATAATTAATACTTGAAAAACTTTTATGACATTTTATCAAGAGAAAAATTCTAGTTATGGTAAGTATCAGAGATTCTAAATATATAATTAGGACCGATGCCAAATATCAATCATCCAAAGCAACTTAAGGTGCCAAAAAGAATTCCAATGAAATTCAGCTCTCTGTAACTTATAAGCTATTATTACATATATATGTTTAATTGCATTTTGATAAGATATATATAAAAGTTGAGCCCTGGCTGGTGTGGCTCAGTTGGTTGAGCATCATCCTGTGCACCAAAAGGTTGCTGGTTCAGCCCTGGCCGGTTTGGCTCAGCGGTTAGAGCATCGGCCTGCGGTACAGAGAGACCCAGGTTCGGTTCCCGCTAAGGGCATGTACCTCGGTTGCAGTTTGTCCCCGGCCCTGGTTGGTCATGCGGGTGGCAGCCGCTCGATGTGTCCCTTCACGTCGATGTTTCTCTCTCTCTCTCTTCCTCTCTCTCCCTCCCGCTCTATCTGAACAAAAAATGGAAAAATGTCCTCGGGTGAGGATAAAAAAAAAAAAAAAAGGTTGCTGGTTCAATTCCCGGTCAGGGCACATGCCTAGGGTGTGGATTCAATGGTCCCTGGTCAGAGTGAGTATAGAAAGCAACCAGTGATGCTTCTCTCCCTTCCTCTCTCTCTAAAAATACCAATAAAAACATACTTTAAAAAAAAAAAAGAAACTGACAGCCCCACTTAATTTACAAATGTTCAATATTTTACATTACTATAGGAAAGGCAGTACAGCAGGAAGTGTATTGGACAAAGTACAACAGGAGACATAAGTTGTTTTTTTGTGTGTATGGTACGTGCCCCTAGCAGGAACAGAACCCGGGACTCTCTGGTCCGCAGGCCGACACTCAACCACTGAGCCAAACTGGCCAGGGCGAGACGTAAGTTTTTATTGCAGTTCTCATTTACCACATATATTATCTTGGGTAAGTTTCTGAAAGCCAGAGAACTCAAGTTCCTTCATCTTTAAAAAGATAACACTAGCCCTGGCCGGTTTGGCTCAGCGGTTAGAGCGTTGGCCTGCGGTCCTGAAAGACCCAGGTTCGGTTCCTGCTAAGGTCATGCACCTCGGCTGCAGTTTGTCCCCGGCCCTAGTTGGGTCATGTGAGTGGCAACCACTCAATGTGTCCCTTTCACATCGATGTTTCTCTCTCTCCCTCCCACTCTATCTGAACAAAAAATGGAAAAAATGTCCTCGGGTGAGGATAAAAAAATAAAATAAAATAAAATAAAATAAAAATAAAAAGATAACACTAGATTGTATACCATGTAGTATCATTCAAAGTTGTAAAGATCAAAAGGCTTAATATACTTTAAAAAACTGTAAAATGTTCCACATTCCCATGTTAACTGTGTATTTTGCAAGGTCTTAGAAGTTCCTTCTGAAATATAGGCAGGACTTTTTATTTTTGCTCATTGAACTTTCTCCCTTAATCATGGGTTTGCTTTGTCTATAATTTTAATGTCCTTCCTTTTGGTATGAAATATCAATGATAGTAATACTTTACTTCAATAATAGTAATAATAGAAATCATGCAGAATAAGGGGCTTCAGGATGCAAGAAGTTAGGTAGTCACTGAGTACTGGGATGATTAGAAACAGGATAATTTTCTGGGGTAACAAATTCATTTTTAGTTAACTAGATATATGACAAATCCAATCCATTCAGATCAGTTCAACATTTATCACCCACTATGTATGAGAGGCACTGAGAAAACCAAAATAAATTAGACACTGTACAAAGTTACAATCTAGCGGGTACAGTATACATACACAATTTTCACTTATCCAAGGGCAGATTAACCTGAGTGAGGACTAATTGCTGTTTCAGGACATGGACTAGGTAAAAACTGATTAGGTCTGATTTTCCATCAGCCTTGGGGCTGGGTTCCTGTCAGGGCAAAGGGGAGGTTAAGCAGCAGGAGTCTCACCCACAACTCAACAAAAATGGTAATCAAGAGCTGACTATTGTTTTCACTCTTACATTTAAAGTCTCTTAGCAATCTCCTCCTCCTTTTACTTAGTTCATTTATACTTTTACTTATACTTTTTAATCCTAGTCTTCAAACAATTCTTTCCCCCTTAACTTAATACGTAAAAGTTCAAATGCAAATGAGAGTAAATAGGAAACATGAACGAACAGATTTAGGTGAGGCAGAGATGTGTAAAAAAGTTGGCTGCCCTGACTGCTCAGCTGGTTGAGCAGCGTCCCCCGAAAGGTTGCTGGTTTGATTCCAGATCAGGGCATATACCCAGGTTGTGGGTTACCCAGGTCAGGGTGTGTACAGGAGGCAACTAATCAAAGTTCAACCGATTGATGTTTTCTCTCTCTCCCTCTAAAATCAATAAAAACATATATATATTTCTAAAAGTGGGCTGATGTAGTTAAACTTGCAAAAGCAAACATATTGGAACACTCTATGTCTGCTTCAGACAGTGGAAAAAGAAGTGAAAGGCTGGCAGGGAAATAAGATTTTAATAATCTACTTACTTATATGGGTTGATGTTTTGACTATCAAACATGTATTAATAGACTTTGAAGAAAAAGGCTACATATATTTCTTTAGAAAAGTTAGGTAGAAGCCCTGGCCAGTTTGGCTCAGTGGTTAGTGTGGTGGCCCATGGACCAAAGAGTCACGGGTTAGATTCTGGTCAAGGGCACGTACCTTGGTTGTGGTTTGGGCCCTGGCCCTGGTCATGAGGGAGGCAACCAATAGAAGTGTCTCTCTTACATTGATGTTTCTCTCTCTCTCCCTCCCTCCCACACTATCTGAAGATAAATAGAAAAACATGCTTGGGTGAGGATTTTTAAAAAAGGAAGGTAGAAATTACATTTTATTTTCGTTTTTAAAATGGCTAAATAGCCCGGCCAGTGTGACTCAGTGGACTGGGCATTGTCCTATGGACTGAGAGGTCCTGGTTTGATTCCTAGTCAGGGTATATGCCCCAGTTGTGCACTTGATCCCCAGTGCAGGTGTGTAGGAGGCAGCTGATCAATGTTTCTCTCTCACATCGATGTTTCTATCTCTCTCTCCCTCCCTCTCTAAAAAATCAATAAAAACATATTTTTAAAAAATAATTAACTAAATTATTAAATATATAAATAAAAACACTAAGAAAATACACCAAAACATTAACAATGATTACCTTTATAAGATAGGATGGTAATTTTGCCCTTTATTTGCTGGTGTTAAGTACTACTAAAAAAGTAATATGTGGAAATATAGTAAATTGATTCAAACCAGAGAAAGTTCTTCTTTATCAATTCCCTCATTTGCCCTATGCTAAAATCCCACCTATGGTCTACACAGATAACTCATTTGGTCCATACTTTTTCCTCTGCATTTATGCATGTATACACACACATTTATGTGGTAGATCATATTTAAAATGCACAAATAGGATCATACAATAGATACTGTTCTATGACATACCCCCCCCCCCTTCCATTTGGATATCTTTACATGTAGTAAAGATATACCATAATTTATCCATCTCCCTTTTGATAGACATTTAGGCTTAATCCTTTTTTCCATTATTGCAAACACTCCTGCTAAGACATATAAAATAAATAAATGTTTTAAATTTCCTACAATGAATACATGTTTCTTTAATATTTGAAAAAGTTTAAAATTCTTTTTAAACATTAAAAATTCACTTACTTTGAACTGGAAATAAATGTTTCAATATAGTTCTGCTTGATATCGCCCATTTCACTGCAGATACGGCCATGGTGAATCACGATGCTTATCAGGAGGTATGGAAAAAGATTTGAAGAGAAAATGCTTTTAAAATTTCCTTCTAGGCATACCTATTTTCATCCCTGAGTAAGAGATTAAAAAATTGTTTAAATTACTGCTACCTATGGTAAGTTAAAGTGACACAATATATTGACCACTACAAAAACAAGACAGGAATCACTATCAAGAACCAGTTACAAAGCAAAACTTTTAAACAACTTGCCATTTCTATACAATGTAAGAAATGAGCAACATTATCAAAATATAAGATCAGAAACCCCAGAACCACGTCCTTTACAATTTCTCTTAAATGCAAATTTCTCAGCACCTAGTGTAGTCCTTTCCATCTAATGAGCGCTCAGTAAATGTGTAATTACCCTTAGAAACAGTCACCCACACATATTACACAGAACATCCTCCTTCATAATGCTAATGTGTCTGTATACAACTTCCCAGGTACCATACACAAGATCTTATTACATCTCTTAAAGTAGTAGTCTGTTTCCGATTAAATGAAATATTAAACAAAGCCTATCCTTGGCCTATTAGATACTGATTTTGGCGAACACATATTAACACCCTGAAGTGCCAAATATAATTTCATCATCTTATATACAGGGTGAGGCAAGAGTAGGTTAAAGTTGTGAGTACACAAAACAGTTTATTTTTATTATTTATTAATTTTTGTATTATTTTCCATACAAACAACTGTAAACCTACTTTTGCTTTACCTTGTATGTATAAGGTTTTTAATTTTCCAAGGTGCTTTCATTACCATTTCATTCGTTTCACTCTCATATTAATCATGTGTGGTGTCTTTATTTTGATTCATGAAGAAACTAAGTACAAAGTTTAAATGACTAGCTTCCAAGAGCTTTAAGAGTCACAAACTGGGAAATATTGGGCAAGTCATTAACAAAAATGACACCCCCCCACCCCATTTCTTTCATGGGGAAAACAACCACAACCTCCATAGCTGATGTATATAAAAGGATATAAGCCTTGTTACTGTACTGGCCTGCTCATATCACCTCGTCCTGATTAAATAAACAAAAGGCCAACTATGGAGCTTTCGGAGGCAAACTGAGGAAGTACCAGCTGGCCTGGTATTCCTCTAAATGTACTTGTCCTCTAAGCAAATTTGTTATTTTTTAAAACTTAGAAAATAGAATGAATAGCAGGAGAGAGGTGTGCTGACCCAGTTCACCCCGTTCCCTTTGCCTCAGCCCCCTCCCACCTCCATTCCCTCCTGCTTATCACTAACTGCCTCCACTTCTGTACTTGCTTGCTTGCTCTCCCCCAAGGCCAACAAGAAATGCCAGTTGCAGAAGTTTGTAACAAGCCCCCTATAAAATAAAAAAGTAGCTGAAAGTCGGGGCTGATCTCTGAGAACTCGGGATCAGTAGTTGGCCAGCTTTGCTATTTGGCTTTAATTCAACTCTGGTGGTCTCCCGGTCCTCTTGCGCCACAACAGTTTCATCCCTTGTTTTTAATTGGCCTTGATGACAATTTCCTCCCTTGCCCGATTCAGACTAAATGGAATCAGCACGCTGTCTCGTTTGCTAGACTAAACCTTGCAGGCTGGTTCCCTGCACTGTCAGCCCATTAGCACTGCTATCCCGGAGCTCATACTGTGCTCTTTACAGTGTACAACCCGCTTTCCTTTGCAATGTGTGCTCTTCTGCAAGCCTGTGAATAGGCATCTTCATTTTATGCATTCAGAGGTTCAGAGAGGTCAAACGAGTTACCTGCCCACTGTACCTCTGCTTAACAGGTGGCCAGGGAGGTCCGCAAACCCTTGTCTTCTGAGCACGAACGGTGAGCAAAACTTTTGGGGAAGAGGGGGGGGGCCCTCTGCCCGAGGCCCACAGGCAGGCACACCCACCAGAGGGTCACGTTATTCACCCCCGCGAGAAAACTTCTGAGGGCAAATCACTTGGACCAGAATTCAACCCTGAAGCAAAACTGCAGAGAGGCTTGGAGGGCCCTGAGTTTGAGGAGCAGGCTACCAGGAGCACGGGAACTAGAACCCGGGGGCAGATCCGAAAGACTTGGCCCTGGAGCGGTCCGCAAGCGACTGGCACCGGCACGAGGGGGGTCCCCACAGGCAGCGCGCGGCCACACGCCGGCCGTGCGGCAGGACGGACCGAGTCTGGGGACGCCAGCAGCTTTATTCTGCCGCGAACAACAGGTAGGAGACCTGACAACTGCGGTGAACCGTCCGGGCCTACCCAGCTTCGCTTCTAGAGATTCCCGGACTGCACGAGTGAAGGGCAACGGTTACCTTGACAGCTGCTCACCGAGGACCCGCCATCTTGCCTAGATCCGGGTCCTGGGCGACACCACTCCGCGCGCCTTCCGGCCTGCGGGGCACTCTGGGAGATGTAGTCTCGCGGGGAAGAGCCCCGTGCGTCAGGAGGGCGGGGATCCACCGAACGTGCTCCCACGTGTAGTTGCAGCGGCTTGCCTGCAACTTTGCTCACGCCGCTCAAAAAAATCAAAATCACTGCCCCACGCACGTATCCTTAGAAAGTAACAAGCGCTATTCTCTTTTAAGTTTACGTGAATACTTAGAGGACCTCGAGATGCTCCTTGGTGGATGAGTTAAGGTTTCCCAGAGGAAGAGGTATTTCATAGAAGCACTGCAAGGGAGTGGGGTTGGATGTGAAGTTTAAAATGGGGAAGTGGGGAGGATCTACAATCCAAAAACCCAGCCTTGTGTTCTGGGAACTGTTCTGGTGATTCATGATGGGAGGAAGAAACTGTGCAGAATCCTGGACTTTACCTTTTATCTTGCAGGAAGAAAAGCACCCCACCCCCTTTGCACTTTCTGTTCTCATTGCCATCAGTGCCCTTCTCTCACCTCTATGACACTGCCTTACTTTATATGTCTTGCTCAAATATCATCTCAAAGAAAACCACACCATTAAAATAGTGTCACTCACCCTTATCCAGTTGCCATCCTTTATTTTTCTTTATAACATTTACCATTATACGACACCATATTATTTGTTTCCTCATTTAATGTCTGTTTCATGCTACAATGCAAGCTCCTTGAAGGCAGGGACAAGTATCTATTTACTTCTATGCTGTGTACAAACCCAACGTATAAAAATGTAGTTGGCCTTATTGTAGGTCTCCGGTATTGAGTGAAGGAAACAACCTGGCAGACATCCAAGATAGCAAATAATCTGCTAAAGCAGCAATTTAACCTGGAAATCCCTTTCCATAATGATTTGCAAATTTTGTATTTGTGTACATTTTTCTGAAAAGGATTCATAGCTTTTATCATGTATTCAAGGGGATTGATAAACCCCTCAAAAAGTTAAGGGCCATACTGCTGAATGATTAGTATTAAAAATAAGTGAACATAGCCTGGTCGGTGTGGCGCAGTGGTTCAGCATGACCCATGCACCATTAGGTTGCCAGTTCGATTCCCGGTCAGGGCACATGCCCAGATTGTGGGCCTGATCCCTAGTGGGGGGCATGCAAGAGACAGCCAATCGATGGTCTTTCTCTCTCATCGATGTTTCTATCTCTCTCTCCCTCTCCATTCCTCTCTCTCTAAAAATCAATAAAGAAAAAAAAAAATAAGTGAACATAAATTCACTATAAAGAAAAATAAATGGCCCTGGCCTGTTTGGCTCAGCGGTTGGAGCGTCAGCCTGCGGACCAGAGAGTCCCGGGTTCGGTTTCCGCTAAGGGCACGTACCAAAATAAAAAAGAAAAGAAAAGAAAAAGAAATGTGGCCCAGCCCGAGTGGCTCAGTGGTTGAGTGTCGACCCATGCACCAAGAGGTCACCGGTTTGATTCTGGGTCACTGCACATGCACAGGTTGTGGGCCCGATCCCCAGTGGGGAGCACGCAGGAGGTGACCAATTGATGTTCTCTCTCATCGATATTTCTATCTCTCTCTCCCTCTCCCTTCCTCTCTCTCTAAGATTCAATAAAGGAAAAAAAATTAAAAAAGAAAAATAAATGTGGGCTGCTGTGGTGTCTCCCCACATTTCCCACAGAATTGCAGTCTCCTTCTGCTGCTAAATGTTGCTCCTGTGGAAGCTCACAATGAGGGCCCATCTCTGTCTTTTCTAATCTTGCTCATCCTTCAAAGCCACTCTGTGATGCCTTTGTGGACTGTGCTGTAGGAAGACACAGAGAGGAGAAACAGATTTGAATGAACAATCAACTAGACTTATCAAATATTCATTGCACAAAGTGGAAGAGGGATGGGTCAAAGATGACTCCAGAGGACATGTCTTGATGGCTGTGAGCAGCAGAACAGGGACCACTGACCAACAGGGAGGCTCACTTAGTGGGGCTAGGAAAGGTTTACAAAACTGAGACGAGAAAAGAAACTGATCGTGTGCATGGAAAAGAGAGTTAGAGATAGCTCTAGGCTGAAGGAACAACTTAAAAGTCTAAAGGGCCCTGGCCGGTTTGGCTCAGCGGTTAGAGCGTCAGCCTGCGGTCCTGAGAGACCCGGGTTCGGTTCCCGCTAAGGGCGCGTACCTCGGTTGCAGTTTGTCCCCGGCCCTGGTCGGTTGTGCGGGTGGCAGCCACTCGATGTGTCCCTTTCACATTGATGTTTCTCTCTCTCTCTGTTCCTCTCTCTCCCTCCCACTCTACCTGAACAAAAAATGGAAAAATGTCCTCGGGTGAGGATAAAAAAAAAAAAGTCTAAAGGGGGCAGAAATAACTTACCCTCCCCTGGAGTACAGTGTGGAAGAGAGTGTCAGGAGATGAACCAAGTAAGAACCATGTCATATTGGGCTTTGTAGGCCTTGGTAGTGATAATATGGAATTGGGACATAGGCTATATGTGTAGATGTTATTCTAAATGCAGTAGGGAATCACTGAATGGGTTTAACAAAAAAAGAAGAGAAATATGATTTATGTTTTTAAAAGATTACTTTGGTTGCACTATAAGGAGTGGCAAGACTGCAAGCAAGTCTAATGAGGCTGTTTGCTATTCTGCAGTCAAGTCAAGAGATGAAGGTGATAATGTGATGGAGGGTGGCAACAGCTGAAATGGAGAGAAGGGAAGAGAGTCCAGGTATATTTTGAAAGTAGAAATGATAAGTGAATTTGCTGGTGAATTGATTGGATGTGGAAGTTGAGAGAGAGGAAAGACACTTCAGGTGACACTTTGATGACTAGCTTGAAGGTGGTGTGGTTCAAGAGATAGGGAAGAATGAAAGAGGAGCAGGTTTGGGGATCTGATGAGCGTGAAAATTAAAGACTCCACTTGGAAATTGTTGAGTTTGAGATGCCTCTGAAATATCCAAGTAGAGATATAAAATGAAGCACCTGTTTGGACAGAATAGAGGTTAGGATAGATATAGATTTAAAGCCGTGGGAATGTTGAGTGTATGTAGGTAGAGAGCGTAGAAAAAAAGAAAAAGGCCCTGGTCGGTTTGGCTCAGCGGTTAGAGCGTCGGCCTGCGGTCCAGAGAGACCTGGGTTCGGTTCCCGCTAAGGGCATGTACCTCGGTTGCAGTTTGTCCCCGCCCCTGGTTGGGTCGTGCAGTGGCAGCCACTCATGTGTCCCTTTCACATTGATGTTTCTCTCAATCTCTCTCCCTCCCACTCTATCTGAACAAAATATGGTAAATGTCCTCAGGTAAGGATTAAAAAAAAAGAAAAAGAAAAAAGAAAGAAAAAGGACCCGAAAGCAGCCCAGGGAATTCCAGTACTTAGAGGCCAGGCGGAGGAGGACAGCCTGCAGGGGCCTTCCGAAGTGGCAGGGAGAAGGGCAGCAGGAAACCAAGGGACGGTGGTGTGAGAGCAAAGAGAGGCCTGTCATGTCATGAAGTATTTTATAACTTCAGAGTTCAGTGCCAGCAAGTTTAAAATTATTATTTCCAAAAATACAAACTTGAAATACCAACAAATAACTTACATTAGCCTACATAAAAGCCAATGAAATTCATGCAAGTAAAATGACAAAACGGATAAAATTGTAGAGGTTTGGAATTGACTCCAAATGGCTTCAGTGGAAAACGGGGTTGGCTTTTTTCTTTTCTAACTTCACAGAATACAGTCACTCTATATAAATCAGATATCAAAGACCAGAACAATCTAACTGCCAAACCATTAGGGAAAATCTTTCTAAAAAAAAAATTTTTTTTTATCCTCACCCGAGGACATTTTTCTATTTTTTGTTCAGATAGAGTGGGAGGGAGAGAGAGGAAGAGACAGAGAGAGAGAAACATCGATGTGAAAGGGACATATTGAGTGGCTGCCTCCTGCACGACCCAACCAGGGCTGGGGACAAAGTGCAACCAAGGTATGTGCCCTTAGTGGGAACCGAACCCAGGTCTTTCTGGACTGCAGGCTGACACTCTAACCACTGAGCCAAACTGGCCAGGGCAAAAAAAAAATTTTTTTACATAAAATTGGCTACAGTTTTGAGCACTTTCTATATGCCAGACATTCAAAACCTTTACATGCATTGTTTTTGTCTATTCCTACTGTTGGCCCTAGGGGATGGGTATAATTATTGTGACTGTCATTGTACAAATGAAGTAACAGAAGCAGACTTGTTCAAACCCATGCAAAGTACAATTGGTAGAACTATGATTTGAACCCAGGAACTTCTGATACCAGCACCCATGAGCTTAACCACTGTGTTACACTGGGCCATCTCATTTCCAAATAGAAAATGTAGATTAAAAAAAAAAACAAAAAAAAACTAATACAGATTTTAAAAACAAAAGCTCAGATATAATATCTACTAACATTTTGATGTGTAACTTTTTTTTTTATCCTCACCCGAGGACACTTATTTTCCATTTTTTGTTCAGATAGAGTGGGAGGGCGAGAGAGAGAGAGAGAAACATCGATGTGAAAGGGACACATCGAGTGGCTGCCATCCGCACAACCCAACCAGGGCCGGGAACAAACTGCAACCGAGGTACGTGCCCTTAGCAAGAACTGAACCTGGGTCTCTCTGGACCGCAGGCTGATGCTCTAACCGCTGAGCCAAACCAGCTAGGGCTGTAACTTTTCCTTTTTAAAATCTATTCTTGTATCTCTATTATGATAATAACTAACATTTATTGGACATATTATGTGCACTATTTTAAAGTCTTGCATACAGTAACTGGTGGAAGTGAGATGTGAACCAGACAGCCTTGTTCTCCTTCAATCTCTTGCTCTTTCACACAAATACATTATCTTTAGTTTTTCTTTTATTCCTGTTAATATATGTATATAAAAATAAATACACATATACATATATTTTTTCTTTTTATTCTCACCCGAGGACATTTTTGCATTTATCTTCAGATAGAGCAGGAGGGAGAGATGGAGAAAGAGAGAGAGAGAGAAACATGGATGGGA